TCCACCCGATCAACACAATAGGAATTCTGCAGGACAACCGAACCCACTCTAAAACCACGACGTTAACTAACCTAACCTAATATTAAAATGGGCCTTAAGCAAATGGGATTTGAGGGTGTGTACTGAATTTCACTGGCTCGTTATCGGGTACATTTTGAACACATTCACGAACCTCCGAGTTCCACAAAAAGCAAGGAATTTTTTGACTATCGGTTTCTAAAGGACTGTATGAATCGCTCAGAATTTTGTTAGTTTACAAAATGGAAGGAACAATCTTCTTGAATCATTACGCACTGAACTCTTCCATGTTCTCCATTGTGATTCTTGACGATGAAATATAGGCCTATTTAAATCTGACAGTTCGTTAGTGTAGGCCTACAATTGTAATGACTGTATTTTGTCGATGATGAGTACTGTTGTATTCAGCCTCTTTTAATAGGCATTAAATAATTATGAAAAAGGTAGGAACAGGTAAGTTTACACTGTCGGGTGGCAAGAACCATTGATTACATGTCTGAATATCGACAAGTAACTTTTACAAACGCAGAACGCGTAGGACTGCAATGCTATTAGGACTTTCACATCACGTTCTTGTGCTATAAACATACACAGCTTACGGGTTACGAAACGACGAATTCTTTGCGGCTGTCGGCTTTCCAATTGGTAGGAGCTTAAAGTACGCATGCCTTCAGGCACCTGTTGTGCGTATCGCGTACGCTTTGAAGGGAAATCAGCTGAATGCATTTAATTGTACGCCCGAATGTTTAGTACTTGTACGACCTTGTTCCTTATTTATAATAGACATCTGATGAAAGAGGTTGATTCTTAGTCTAGTCAACACCTACATGAGTAATAAACTGTATAATTTATTTCATGCTGATAATTAATCCACACGAGATTTAATTTTAATTCATGTTCCAGTTTAGGGTCTTCCAGTCTTCATTATTTTGTGATCCTGTCCTGTCTAGTGATGCTCATGAAGTTTAAGAATTTCATAAAACCTGGATTCCTCAGTACTATGACTGGTTGTGCGTCGTTCGAACAGAATTCTGTTCAGGCAGGACTCT